ATCAGAAACAAACTCTTTCACCCAGTCAATCATCTCTGAGCCTTCCACAAGAACCGTGGCCATCTTCTGTTCTCTTATTTTCAGACTCAGTCTTCCTTTGATCCATATTTCTTCAAAGAGAAGATCTTTAGCCTCTACCCTCAGGGAAGAGCTCCATTTTGCTTTCTCCATGAAGTCTCTACCCTCACGAAGCCTCTCTTCATTCTCCACGAAGCCTCCATTTTTTGTTTAGATCATAAACTGAAAATATTTTAGTAAATTAACTTACAGAAAATTTATTTAATCTGTGGTTTTACATGTCACTTATCCTTTCTGTGAACTTTCTAACCATTTCATCCTGTGTCATACATTATTTTTTATCCAGAATTCTCTTGATTAAATAAAAAGTCCCAAATTGGCATATCAAATAAACTAATGAAAGTAAGGTGAGAGATAAGCTATTGTTGATTCTAAGTGGATAGAAAACATGAAAGAAAGGATATCCTATGAAGATGGAACAAATGAGAGAGTGGCAGGGCAAGCTACAGAAGAATATTTGATGAAAAGAAAACTACATTTAGGTAGAGTCTCTACAGTACAACCCACACAACCTCTAAGCCAATATCTACACATGGTTGTCATGGTTTTTTTTTCTTCTTTTAATCAACAAGGGCAGGATGCTATATGATGGAAGATCAAGATATAAAAGAAAGGATACCTTATGAGGATGCAACAGGATGGGAAGGTGGCAAGGAAAAGCTAAACAAGAATATATGATGAAGAGAAAACTACATTTGGCTAGAGTATCTTCAGTACAACCTACACAATTGTAAGCTGCCCCCCGCCCCTTCCCCACGCATGTTGTAAGTCAACATGATGCTTCATGAGTTGGCTTTTTTCCTTTAGAAACATTTTTAGGTGGAAAATAGGATTACAAGTATGATACCCTGGATATGTCCGCATGGGTCACTGCTGTATCAAATTAGACACTTAGATAATTAGTGAATTTAATATCTAACATCTTCTGCAGCCATGTCCTGTTGTATCTGGGTAACATAGATTTAAAACAACCTTATGATCCATGGTGGGACTAGGACCCATATTCCCTGTCTATAGATCACAGGCTTGTCCATTGGCCTAAGCCCTCATCTTTGTTTCCCAAGCATGTCCAAATTGTTTAAGAGAGCAAAGCAAGGTGTCATAAGCCCTGTATGTACAGGGGCCTAAAAGTCATTAAAAGACGATATGTAATAATGTAATTGCTCATAATTTAACAATGGATATGGCATTAAACAGAATAGAATGGAAAAATAGGCTTCATGTTGAGTAGCGGATCCAATGTAGTTGGTATAAGGGTTAGATGATGTAATAATTAAATGGAGGGGGGTGCAAATAAAGAAATGGCTTATGGAGAGAGCACTTCATGACATTTAGGAAATGGTTTACTGTTTATCAAACCAATCATGCCAAAATGCAATATGGATTTCATGAACTTTACATATATCTATATGTATGTATGTATGTATGTGAGCACTTGTCCACCTTAACTTTGATTTCATGTTTCTGTGAAGACAGCTAGAATATTTCCACCCTTTATGCATGAACATAAATGTAATAACATATTGTGAGTTGTGGTCGGGTGTTGGTTCATGTTGATGGAGAAGCAAGTTTGAGGTTATTTGTGTCAGGTCAGGAGGATGTTGAAGTGGATGAAGGGTGCTACAGGCAAGTCTGGTTGGCAGGTCATAGGAACTGAGTTTGAGGTTGAGAAGGTTGAATCTAGGGCATTGTTTGAGTGGGGAAAGATGAGAGTATTGGGAGTTAGGAAGTAAAATGGAGGTCTGTTTTTATTCATGTTCCATAACAGAGTGTGCAGAGTGGGTCTTGGAGTGAGAGAAAACTAAAGACAGGGAGTGTGATCTTAGGCCAAATTGGAGGTTTTTGGCAGCAGGCGCAATCAATGAAGTTAGGAATGTTTTGTGGTTAGGGGTGGTGGGTATCCCTCTCAATGCCTCGAGTCTTGAAGTTCGATGATAAAAATAGGACTTGGGAGAAGATGGACATGGCTAGAATACTGATAGAAGTCTTGTGGTAATTTCCTGAAGGTGATTGGATTGGAGGGAAAGGTGGAAATTGAGGGGAAGAAATTAAGGTGGCGAGGATTTGTGAGGGATACGTAGAATACAAGAATGCAGGGGGAAGTAAATTGAAGAATTGGGTGGGAGGCTTTTGAGAGAAGAAGGCGAACAGATGATTTTGGGTTTTAGGGAGGAAAGACATTTGAGTGGGGACCACCTTATTAAGGAAAAGAAAAGAGATGCTTCAATTTTGGAGGTGAACCTGACTGTTGCTCATCCTTCAACATCTTAGTGTAGTAGTGATGCTGCAGTTAGGCCTGGTGTTGGCATCACAAGTAGGGCGGAAGTAAGAGTGGAGAAGGTGGCGTTTGTTGCAAAGAAAGGAACTCATGATATGGCTGATTGTTGAGGTGCTCATCAGAGATGTCCAGGAGTCAACTAGTTCAAATCCAGTTTCAATTTTGTCCTCTGATTACTTCTCTCTGAGTCGTGTTGGTGCCATTGTGGGGTCTGGAGTTGTTAGCTTAAGTGTGGCGGAAGTCATTTTTGAGGCAGACTTGAGTGTAGTTGTGGGGGTTGTTACAGATGTGGTGTCAAGTGATTCCTTTGACTGTGGTCATGAAGGGGTTCCCATAGTTGAGGTGAGCTCTAATCATGTAAACTCAGAATCTGGGGTGGGGGATTCTTTTCAGGAAGCCAAGGGTAAGGATAAGTCTGAATTGTTTTTTGAAGTGGTAGTTGGGAGGATTGGTTTTGAACTTGGTTAGAGGAGGTATGAGGCTATGACAGTTGCTTTTGCTGAAGACGGCACCCTTGAAGAAGTCTAGAAGCTCGAATAAGTTGCATCTTGTCAATGTAACAAAGGTTTTTTCATGTCTTAAAGATGGTCTTGTTGGAGTGGGTCCTAGCAACAAGTATAAGAGGTTATACAAAACAAAAGGGTTAAATGCTGTATATAGGATTCAACCGGTTGTTGGTAAGGAGATTTAGGACGATAGACAGAATTTAAGCAATGATTTTAACAAAGAGTTGGACTTTAGGATTCAAGTGAATGAAGTGGTGGAATCAGGGGAGATAAGGTTTAGTTTGGTTGGAGAGGAGGAGGCTGAAGGCACAAGGATGAAAATAAAGGCAGTGACTGCAAACCTTGACAATTTGAATTTAGAAGACAAAAGAGTGGATTTGGAAAAAATTGTCAATAAGGAGGTTCAAATCAGCAAATTGTTGGGTTTGTCCTTAGGTGGCAAGGAGATCACTAGAAGAGTTTTTTGGAATGGGAAAAAAAGAAAAGCACAGTGATCCTGTTCATGCTAACAGTAGCCACGTTGACGAGTTGGAGGATGTGGATGAGTGATTTTTAAAATTGGGTTGCAAATTGGTGGGGGGAGATTGGTTCTTTATTTGTAATGGGGGTCAGAGAGTGGTAATATATGGATTTGTTGTATATGGGCGGGTTTGTTTAAATGAGTTGGGTGGTTTGTTGTCTGATTTCCCTGTTGTATGACTTTGGTCGTATTCTCTCTTTTATTTTAATGAATTTTTATTTTACTATCCAAAAAAATAGACTTTGAATAATCTTGAGTGCTACCTTTTGAATTTGTTTTACCCATAATTTTAGTTGTTACCATGGATGATTGTAAAGGAATTATGAAGAATGGCAGCCTCCTAGTAATAATAGGGTGAAATTGAACTTTGATGGGAGCTCACAAGGCAACCTAGGCCCATCAGGAGTTGGGGGAGTAATCGGGGATGACAATGATTTGATTTTGGCTATTTTCTCCTGTCCAATTGGCTTGGCTGAACAGTATGGTCTAGGAGTATCAAGTATGGCCTCACAGGCATGCCTTAAGGGAGATTGAATGTATTGCTAAGGATATTGTGGCAATCTTTAGATGGATTAACAGATCAGCTAATGGATTGGCTGGTTCCTTTGCTAAGCAAGGGGTCTCAAGGGATCAAGTGTTTTGGGTTGTGGTTTAATGCTTTAGCTTTTTTCTGGGTTGTTCTAGCCTGACTTGTATGTTGTATTTCTGCTCATTATTTAATGAAACCTTTCCTTAATTCTGCTAATAGCCTCGCTGATGCATTAGCTACACATTGGACTGCAAAAGATGTTTTGGCATGGGGGACACCACACAGGATAAGGGATTGAATTGTAACACAATGTGTTAATGTTAATAGTGTAAGATTTTCTTGGAGTAGCTCTAGGCTGAGTTGTATCCTGTTTTATTGGTCCTCTGTTTCCATTTTTTTGGCAATGAGGTTACATTTTTTTTGTCATTAGTCAAATCACCAACAGTTGTTGATCCCCCTCAAAAAAAAAAAAAGAAAAGAAAAACGACAGCAGTGGATGGTCAAGTTGTTTCTTATGTATGCTGATGTACTCAAATATATGTTTAAGATGTCCCATCAATGTCCTTAAGTAGCTTAACCTTTCCTTGTAAGATGAATATTTTCTCATCTACTGAATATAACTATAGGATCCTTTAGCATGACTCAAGAGCAAAGGGTCCTAACACTTCTGTAGATTATACCTATCATTTAGATGTTTAGAGTTCATCTATGAGCTATTATAACCAGATCCAAGAGTCCTACTTAGTGCACACCAGGGTTTCTAGCCGTAATAGTTATGCTTTATGAACAATTATACCCCTTAGATTTGTTGCAGTGAATGAATTTATTCTGTGCTTGGGCGTCTTCTATTACTAATGGGGGTATTAAATGGAGTATGTCCAAAGTTTTTTTAGAGGATTTCCATCTTGCTTATTTTTAGATCTTGCATGGTCCTTTTTATTAACTGACTGATAGAGAATTTGTTTGACAGGCATCTATCTTGGTTATTTCACATCTTATTTCTTCATCTCTTGACTAGATAGTACAGGTAAATGAATGGATCCCCATTTTATGCAATTGACTGAACTTCTGAAATCTGAATGTCTCTAGGTAAGGTGTATTGCCAGCTTGGAGTGAGCACTCTCCCTTCTCATCACCCAAAGAAAGTGGGTAAAGTTCAAAGCCTGCCTATTTCACAGGTGTATTATGTTCAATATGGATTTGAATTGTAAAGGAATAACCTGGGTTGGGAACATATACCAGAGGGTTGAAGCTATATGCATGGAGGTCGAAGGTATTATAACTCAGGTATATTTGCTTTTTTTTCCCTCTTTCCTTCCTTGCATTCCTGCTTCCATGTATGTGGTCAAATGGCTTTTCTTTTATGAGTTTATCCATGTTCTTTGACGTGAGTTTTTTTTTTCTTTAATTCAATAAATGCAGTAACTCATGCTTTGTATGTCTTTGTGGGTGTGTTATGTGTGTACACATGTCATAATATGGACTATTGAATTGGTAGGTTTGACTTGGTTGGATTCCTTTTCTGGGCAGGAAGCATTACAATTTGTGGAAGATCAGGTCGAATCTGTTGGAGTAAGTGTTAAAAAATTTTGTGCAGAAGTAATGCAAGATTTACACCCTCCATCAACTGAAGATCCTGTGAAAGGTGGAAATGACTTAGATATGAAACAAAATGCTGATGATGAGATCCATAGCAAGTCAAAAGAAGATAGTTTGAAGGACCCTATAAGGGAGAAACAATCTGTGCTCAAGGAGTTGATGACCCTTAAGAAGTTAGATGATGTTAGTTTAGAAGATCCCAAAATGGAGAGGCAATCTGCCCCTAAGGAGGAGTCGGTGGTAGTTGCTCTTGAGGGGAAAGGTTTGAGTCATACATCATTGTTTGATGGAAACTGTGATGTAAATCCTTTGCCCCCTCAATCCTCTGTGGATCCCATCAAAAGAGCAGATGCTGGTTGGTCGTTTGAACAGGGTAATAATGATGACGTTGCCATGTGCAAGAAGTCAAGCATTGGTATCATTGAAAATCCTGTAAAGGAGTCACAGTCCGAGGTGATTGCTTCCTTAGGAGATCTGAGTGGAATGTCGCTATTTAGTAGAGTTGCCAATGAAAACCACGAGAAGGCATGTGGTATGCTCACCGAACCATCTTCAGTTGAAATTGCACGACATAATTCTGCCTCAAAAGCAATTCATATTGATTCTTCAGATGTGACTTGGCATTGTCCTGATATTTCAAATGCTCCATCTTCTGATTTGAGTTTTCCAGTTATCTCCTGTCAGAAGGACTTGGCAGACATTGTACCAATCCCTTCCAGAAGGATTCTACTTGTGGAATCAAATGGTGATTATTTCCATGTTTACCTATGGTGATTCTTTCCATGTTTACTTTTGTGTATATGCATATCTGTGTGTTACCTTCATTGGCAAATAGTGTTTTAGTTTCGTAGAATGCAGTAAATTATTTTTGATGGGATCTTCTGGGGATGGGCATGAATACTGTAATGATTGTAATGCAAAGGCTTTGAAATTAAAATGCATGCCAAAGAAATAGATACTTTTCAGCTTTTCCCTCTTGTTGTGCGTGTCCCTTTGTCTTAATTATTCTAACCAGTGGAGTTAACGTGGTTTAATATTAATCCATTGCCTTCTTGTAAGACATAATATATCTTCAATGTTAAATCACATATTGACTGATGCCGGGGACTGATACAGGGAATTCGGGTGGCCAAAGTGTGGATGTGGCAGAGGAAAATTCTGTTACTGACCCAGGCACAGAGATGGACACAGCATTTGATAATAGAAGGCTTGACGAAAGTTGTGTAGTGGTGGATAGCAATGAAATTTGCTTTGTTTCTCCGAGAGCCAGCAAGCACAGATCATACAAGGTTCTCTCTCTCTCTCTCTCTCTCTCTCTCTCTAGCACATACAATTATTAACTGCAAATGTTGTTTACCAGAAAAAAATCTGTGATGCCTTTGCTTCAAAGATGAGGTCAGGGAAGAAGAAGGAATATGAGCAGCTGGCTATCTGTTACGAAGACCATACACCAACCAACCAACAAAGAGCAGAATGTTCTACACTATCCAATCTCACCAGGGACTTGGATTTAAAAACTTTGCCATCCACCGATTTATGTGATTCTGAGTGGGAACTTCTGTAGATAATGAGAAGTACTATGTGAATAACGATGCAACACTACTGGTTCTCTGACCTGGTCAAGGTGGGGATGTTGCTATTTCTACATCAATAATTGCGGCTATGGTGCTGTCTTTAAATATAAATATATAAAACTCAAAATGAGGTAGGCAGAGGAGTGAAAACTCATTGGTGATGGATTAGAAAAGGTCTTCCATGAAATGATTACCTGTCCTTTGAGGTAACCACCTTATGAAATACTCATTCAGAACGCACGATGTTGTATTTATGTTTCACTTTTTTCTGATTATGAAAGTTGATCATGAGCTTTATCCTCAAGTGATACTTGCACTTGTTGTCCTAAGCATTTTCTGCTGGTGGTATTCTTGTTGTTGGGTGAAATTCCGTTTACTTTTCTCTTTCTTGGGGGATTAAGTTGCTGAAATCTTCCTTGTTTTCTTGTCATCTTGGGCGATTGACCAAATGTTTACAATGCCACATGGCTGTTTGACCTCATTGATCAAGGTCTTGACGGTTCAGAGGCTGATCCTCCATCTGGTTGTATTGCTGGAGCTTATTTCAAATCTTGATCTCCGTTGTGGTTAACACTTAACAGTTAGACCCATTAAACATTTTTCCCTCCATTTGGGTTTTCAGGTACTGATTCAGAAATTGCATTTCCAAGTAGTTTTTGAAAGGAAAAAGTGAGAATTATTATTGTCGTCGTTCTTGTACGTTATGTCGATTATATAATCTGAATGATTATTGCCCCGCAGGTTTCTAGTTTTTATCTTCATGTGGGATTAATTTTTCTTTGGTAATTACATGTGGGATGGATTAAATTCTGGCATTTTTCATCTCTGATTAACGGAACACATGATCTTGATCTATGGGTTTTGCCAACACGAACCATTGTCCTGTGTGAAGGTAGCAAAGTTTTTTAATTTCTTCAAAATTCTTGTCATCAGTGTTGTTATTTGAACCTAGCTGAGCAGATTATGTCCTCCTGTTCTGTTCTCTTTAGGCCATGACTATAGATTCGAGATAGACATTTACTAACCTTACCGGCGGCTTACCCTAAGTTCCTATCTGATTCAATTCCATGGAAAAACGGTCAAATTGTACAGAAACAAGGTTTATGTTTGTTATGGTCTTTGAGAAGGTTTAGATCTTGGAGGGTGCCTTCTAAATTGGATTTTTTTTTCTCATTCACTAATGCCTGGAAAAGCAACAAGCTAAGAAAGCTGTGTTGTCTACAAATGAAAGAAAAGCAGGAGAGTTTTGGTGTAGGCTTTCCGGTTTAATCCATTAATGGGTTGGTAAACAATCATGCTTTAGAGTTTAAGAGACAGCTTTTATGATATCCCCCCTCAAATAAGATTAAAAATTAGCAAAAATGAGCACTGAATCAGAAGAGAACTACAAAATATCCCTAGAGGTTTCTAGGATGGTGAAGGCATACAAGAGCATGTTCCATGTATCGGGTAATCCAGGGAGGCACCAGTGGCTACAGTCAGCGTAGAGCTGGGGTTTCATTCTCTGCTCCTCTGTCAATAACACTCCTTGCTTGGCTGTGTAAACTGTTGGATGTGCGTCTCTACGGTATTGTGATAGCCTCGTGATATTCAAGTACTTGACTGGTGTTCTCATCTCTCTAATCGTTTTCTCCACAATCGCTACCACTTGCCTTGGAAAAGATGTCGTATAGGATTCATCCATGATCGGTTGCGTTTGGTTGTAACACCATTGCCGTCTGGAACAATTCCATTTGAATTCAGAAAGAGTTAATTGTGATTGCATTTGCGTTATATATCTATTCACCGACCGAGTCTGAATCGGATTCGACTATCAGGCCTCTTCTTGAGCTCGGGCCCAGCCTGAAGTCCAACCAGAAGTTTGGGAAAAAGATTTTTCTTTTTTTCTCAAAATCCAAAAATAATGAAAGATCTCACCATGATTTGAAAAAAGAGAAGAGGAAAAAAAAATATTGTATATATATTTTTTGAAATATAATATACTATCAAGTTGGGTTCATACTTTTTCGAGAAAGCCTAAGCACTACCCAAAAAAAGTCAGACCTGGTGTTTTGGGCCTGAGCCCAAGCCCGTGAGTCTAAATTCATATCCGAGCCTGACTTACAATGGACTGGGTTGAGCTGGCCTGTCAGGCTACTCAGCCCATGAACAGGTCTAATAATAACTGGTAGAGTGGTAGGTGGGAGCCATTGATACATTTAGGGTCCGTTTGGTTCACAGTCAGAATTGGAATGTTTCCATAGTCTGGTTCAAACAGGAATTGGAATGTGAATTTGAATAAACTGGAATAGGATTCCATTCCCAATGGGGGGAGGGAATGACCATTCCCTCAAATGGGGGAATGCCATTCTATCAAGAATGGGAATGAAATTCTGGTTCCATCCAATCAAACAGTTGGAATTGGAGTGGTCCATTCTGATTCCAATTCCAAAACCCTATTCCTGTAAACCAAATGGGCCTTTACTGATTTACATACCCCTTGTGTTCTGGTGAGATACTCCTGAAGAAAACTGTAGTCTTGGTAGGATCAACGTTGTCTTCGATCCATTGGCTCCATGTTTTCAAGGCTGTCTCAAATTTGATTTCTACATCCAGGTCCTTCAACATTTTCTTCTTGTACTCGACGAAATCCCACCTGTAATTGGTGAATCTTACTTCATAAAATTTTGGTAAATGAAGCCCTAAGAACCTCTGAAATGGTCCAGATGGGACACTTACGCTTGAAGCTTGCCACCATGCACCCACCAGTGGCCTGTGTTGAATACCATGATGTCAGCTCCTCGCCAGCTCTGGGCAGAGGCTGAAATTGTGTGGAGCTTGAGAATTCTCTTCCTCGATCGGGTTTGGTCCAGTTGCACTAGAAATGGACTCCAGTAGAACTCCAAAGTACAGTCATAGTCCTATATACAGCAGTGACAACACTATAAAGGTTTTCATATAACTTTTGAAGAAAACAAATGAGAGAGAGATGTCAATAGGTTGGGTACTCGGCTTTAAGAGTTTAGCTGTTACTATCATAATTATATAGCTAAAAAATAATTGGGTTAGAGGCGATCATCCCAATTAATAATTGGTTCGGTTTTGGATCTATGTCAAAGAACCGATTGATCATGGGAACAGTGCTGGCACACCCCCCAATCGGACCCGAACCAGAACCATTGAGGGAAAGAGAGGGCCAACAGTCTAAGAAACCTTTTTGGAGATTACATGTCAGCCTATTCAGTCCCTTGTTTCTCCTTAGGGGTGTCAATGGAGCGGTTTTGAGTTAGATTAGATCCGTCCATATCAAAATCAATTTGAACAGATTAGACATCAAGACATTGGACATACCGATTGAGACATTGAATTGGACCAATCCAGACTAATGGTCCAAAATATTTATTGGATTGGATTGGTCCTGATCCATTAGTAATGGATTTATAGTGGATGGGGTTGGATTGAACTAATATCCGGCCCATTGGTAGAAGTTAAGAGTATGGGTGTCAATGGACCAGGTTCGGGTTTGAGTTGGACTACCCAATTTGAACAAATTGGGCTGTCCAATAAGACAAAATGAATTGGACCATCAGTCCAAATTGATCCAAAGCATTTATTGGATTGGATTGGACCTGATCCATTGTAATGGATTTACATTGGACTGGTTCTGATTGGACCAAATCCGGTCCAATTGACACCCCTGTTATTGTCTTTTTGATCAAAAGAAAATTGAGTACAATTTCTCTTACCCCACACCCATGGTCATGCTCAAAGATGTTCCAAACAACCCAGGCTGTTRGGCTCCCAASAGCCAAAGTTTTTTCCCACTGAAAGCGTATATATAGAATGTAGGTACAAAACATATGAAACAACGTACACCACGTATAAATGTATAATTGATACTTGTCACAGACTGAATGTAAGTGAATGATAAGTGCAGTGCAATAAGCAAGGAAAGATAAGGGCCCAGAAATCCCTTCACCCAATTTGCATGAGAAACCACCTCTTCAACTTCAAAATTCTGCAAAAACAAACATAAAGTTTTGGATGATGTACGTACTAACCTCCTTGTCCTAGGACCCAAATTTTACAGGTAACCCATTCAGCATGCCTCAACACAAGCGGTTCTCGTTTGCCATTTGGCTATTATTTTGCCACATCAGATAACAGGTGGATCGTCCGCAAGTGACCCAATTATGACTCGAGCGAGGCATGAACCGTCAAACCTGAGTTCACCCACGCTTCCATACTTGTTGAGATGGATGAATACTTGAAAAGACTACTGGTTTTAATTTCCATTTGGTGCATTGTATCACTCCTCCGAAGTTTGCAAAAAAACATGTTTCTATGCATGGTTTTAATTGCCAACTCACTAACCCAGAGTCTCAGGCTTTGTTTTGTGTGAGTTTATCAATTACTATGCATGATTTTGATTAATAGCCTTTAATTAATTTTTCATGGAACCCAGAAATAGTCGATTGATATCCCTAACAGTGACAAACACAGAGAAACAATCTAATCTAATTTAGACAAAAATTAAACGAAGATGAAACAAAGAGAAGAGGAGAAGGAAGACACAAAGATTCATATGCAACAACTGGTCTTACCATGGCTTTGAAGACCTTATAGACTCCACTTCGAACATTTACTTGGGCTCGTGATGAAGGGATAACAGAATACAGCAGGCAAGCAAGAGACTCCCACTGGTTTCTATTGAGCGAGTCTCCAACTATGATCACCCTCTTCCCTCTTAATCTCTCCAGCATCTCCTTTCCATTGAACCTAACAGCATCTTACATTTTACAGTATTAACTTCCTTTCCAATCCTCGCTGAAAACTCAAAGTTGAAGCTATTACAGAACAGAACTCTTGAAGTTGGATTCACGTTATTTGCTTACCTGGGAATGTTGCAGTTCTTAGCCTCCCACCTCCACTTCTCGTACTCAAAATCCGGCCGCCCGTTCCTTCGGCAGCTCACCTGGTCGTTCAGGAATGGGCACTGAGTTGCTTCATAAAGTGGTTCTCCGTCTGGGACGTAAACCCAGTGGCCGTCGAACATGTCGCAGTGCTTCTGCTCGGTACGATGACTTCGATTCGTATGTTGGGCATTCTCATCGATTCCGATGTTGGGCATCAAGAACTCCTCGCCGGTATTGTGGGTTTCATTGCGAAAAACCTTGGACGACGCTGAAACTTCTGTTGCTGCTGTGGTTGTTACTTGTGATGAAGTCTCTATGCCTCCAAGAGCTGCAAATATAGGGAGAGTAGTGTGTTTGTGAGTGTAAAACCAGGCGAGAATAAAACAGCCCAGGAAGCTTAAGGAAAAGCAGAGCTTCCATTGTTCTTTAATGGGGGCTGGGGTGGTGGTTGTCTTCATGGGTCCTTGCCCTGGTAATAACCTATGTCTATCAACACCACTGTTGAATGTTGATAGCCCAAAACTTTTGTAGGGATGCCGGAGACACGGGTGAGGGTTTGTTAGTTTTGTGGTTCGTTAGAGGTGGGTTTTAATGAGTGTGAGACTCTGAGGGGCCGTTTGAAAACAGCTGAAGTGAGTCCAGTTGGGATAGGCACGCACGGCTGGGTATATGCGTTTTTCATAAATACCCCACGGTGTGAGGACGAAATCCGGATTCTTATAATTATCAAAGCGTTTTTCGTGCTCAGAAGTGTGTATGTATCCGGTATCCGCCGGAGTGGCTGAACCTAATGAATTCTTAATTTAGAGGTTGGGAGCTCTGGACTGAATTCTTCAATTGAAAATGGGTTGAATGTTATAAAGTCTCATCCAGTGAAGGACAAGACAAACCAATAAGTTCATTTACTTGAATCACTTTAGCCTTTTATCAAAGAGCTGGTTACAAGTTATCTATATTGAATAGGTTCCAACAAACACCCTAAACCATGAGATTCCAACAAAAATGTTGGTTTGTTATTGAAGTTTTTTTGGTAGATATATTGAAGGGTTATTTCATGAATGGCATCTTAGTAGTGTGGAATGTGGAGGCCGGAGTAAGGGTAATTGTAATTGTTTAATTCCCATCGGGACAATAAGAGGCCTGCCATTCCTCTCCTTTTCCCAACCCTATCATTTTTATATATTTTGTGGGTTTTTTATGAATCTTTTTTAAAATAATTCAAGTAGTCAATTAACTTTGAGTCTCTCCATTGACTCCCCATTAATTCTCTCTTCTCTTTCTCATTTACTCATTTGATTATCTCTCCTCATTAATAATTCCATTAACTATCTCTCTTCCAACTAATTACTCCATTAATTTACTCTCCTCTCAATTACTTCATTAAATTGCTTAAAATTCATTTGACTCTTTTTTCTTTTTTCCTTTTTTATTTTATTCTCTCTCCTCTCCTCAGTAATCTAATTAACCAAAATCAATTTGCTGATGGGTGATCATTTCAGTCTGGCCTGGGCCCCGGGTCCACATCAGACCCACAAAATTCAGGGCCAAGCTTGGGCCTAGTACTTCAATGCTCGCACAGGCCAGCCCAACCCATAAACAAATAACAGTTTAAAAGTTAGTTAATAAAAATATCATAAATAGTTAAATCACCTAAACAATGGGGGAGGGAGAGAGAGACTTCCATTTTTTATAGAAGAAAGAATTTCATTTATTTCTATAGGGGGACCTCTTCCATTTTTAGCCTATTTTGGCATATTTCTATAGGCATCTTCCATTATCAGCCTATTGTATTCTCAAGAGAGATAGAAGTTTACTCTCATCAAAATTCCATTTATTTGTTTCATAGTCAAATTTTATTTAATTGCTTAATTGTTAGAAAATTATAGTTTAAAACCTAATAACAAAAAATAAGAAAAAATATTGAAGTTAATGTTAAATATTAAATTCAAAAATAGTAGTTCATAAATTAAAAATTAAAATACATTTGAGTACTCTTTAAAAATAACTAATATTAAAGGATAATTAAAATTAATAATGAAAAGTAAAAACATTTAAAAATAACAAAACAAACCATTTGCATTCCATATAAAAATTATTTGAAATAGTAAAACTAATAATGGGACAATTAGAAATGTCATAAGACTCCTACTTAGGGATGATAATTTATAACTTAGCCTGACCTAGCTAGACCTACAAATTTCTAGGTGTCAGATCAAATTTGGATTTAATCTACAACTATTTTATTGTGTTTAAAATGACCAAAAATTGAAAAAGTTTTTAAAAACTAATTATTTAAAAGTATATATATGCATAATATATATATATATATATATAATATTAAAATTATAAACTATAAATTGATAGCCCTAGTAGGTAGATCCCAAGATAAGCAACCCCTATACTCAACGTGGAAGTTACATATATAATATTTACATAACAAAAAATTTTATATATTTTTATAATAGACTAAAATTAAATAACAATTTTAATTTTTAAAAAATTATAGTTTTATAATTAACACGGGCAATTCTATTCCTATAATTTTAGTTTTATTACTCTTAGGATGTAGGCTAGGTTGGGCCATGCAGCCTTAAAAACTATTAATACACTAGCAAAATCTGGCCCAAGATCTTTTATTTTTTATTTTTGGTTCATTGGGCTGCACAACGGGGGTAGTCCATCCCCCATAGCTCCTTTGACTTAAATATTAATAATTTTTATCTAAAAATAGTTAAAAACCCAAATATAATGCACACATGGGTTGTACTTGGTTTGGTTCAATCCAATTATGAATGTCACATTGCTCTTAGGCGTGTTGGGTCAGGTTAATGATCAACCCAAGCCCAACCCAAAGTCTTAACCCTCGAGCTTGGTCTTAATTTAATTTAGTTACAACTAAAAGGCTAATCTGTAAATTTACTTAATCATAATCATGACTATAACCTAATATTATATATTTACTAATATTTTAAGTTTCTTAAATATTAGTAGTATTTACTAATATTTAAGTATTATTTACAAAAAAATATAACATTTAATCATTAATAAGGTAAAATAAATAAAATAGAACACTAACAAAATATATGGAAAAATAATTATTTTATTATATAATTAGTAATAATTTATTATTTTTGTTAAAATTATTAATATAATTAATCTAAATTACAAAATTATTTCTGTAACAAATTATTAAAATAAAGATTTATTATTTTTGACAACATTACAATATTCCTTATAATCATTATTTGTTTTTGTTGTTTTACTTTTCTTTACAAATCCCATGCATGACATAGAGCCCAGATTTCCTACTCACTCTCTACCCGCCATGAATTGTAGCCACACATTTCTCAATTCATATAGAGATGTGTGGCTCCAATTCACAACTGGTAGAGAGTGGGTAAAAAAAGTGAGTAGGAAATCCCGAGTGGCATGACATAGGTCCACACTACTATTAGTTTAATATAAAAAGAAGGCGAAAATAAGCAAAACTACTTCTCATTAGTCGACCCATAAAAAGCATTTAAAAGCATAGTGGGTGAATAGCAAAGTGGACAAGTTGAAGTTGAAGCAGGTAGAAGCTGGGTAGGTATAATCTAACCCCATTGGGTTCACCCGTAAATATTATTAAAATGCATCTCTTTTCAAACTTCTAACCTTATTGCTAGGCACTACTTTGTTGAACTAACCAGCTACCAAATAACCAATCCATTTCAAACGATTAAAGCATGTAGAGTAGTACCAAGGTGGAAAGACAACTAAAGGTCATGTTGTTTTCATGACCTCTCTCTCTCTCTCTCGTACAACCCACTCACATACATACACATTACTTTTTTTAAGTCAAATCCATTAAAAAAATAAAAGATTATCCTAATCATAATAGAAAATATTCCTCTCTGACTTTAACATACACGTATACACGTATGGGAGATATTTTTGTGTATACTTAGATATTGTGCTTTTGGAGTAGTTTTCGCTTTTCATGAGATACAGGTATTTTGTTAAGGTGTGTATGTATTAGAGAATAAAACCTATTCAAGGACCTCATTTAACAGCTTAAGCTTTTAAGTTGAATGATTATCTGAGTGTATGGTTGAACCTTTTTCTTTTTGATAAAGAAAACTTAAATAAAACGCACGGAGAATTCACTATCTAAACTAAAAACTATTGCAGCTTAGAGTTGAAGTGGGCAAAAGTCAGTGTGGTAAGGTTGGCCAAGAGTTACTTTACTAATTTGAAGAAAGGGTCTGATGAAAGCAGATCAATGGTGAATTTTCTGGGTTCTCGTTGTTTGACGGTTTTCACAGGCTGGTACAAGTTCTGGCAAAAATTGATGAGTCACTCCAACATCAAAGAACTTGGATTCAGTTACTGTCTTTATTTTCGCTTGTAGCTGTGCATTAAGAATATCTCTATATGAATGAAAACATACAAGTACAGAAAGTGGCTGAGTATGGTGTAAATAATCTTATGAGGACTGAATCCGATCTCAACATCAAGTAGTTTACTTTTACAGTTTTCTATCATGTGGTTTTAGTGATAAAATCGTGAATTATGACCTTAAATGTACTGTTGTAGCCTCACCACAAGGTGTTTGATATGGGCCACACCAATGCATCAAAGGCTTTTATTTTATGGTTTAACACGGGACTAAAATCATATAAAAGCATCAGTAAAAGTTAACATATATTGTCAAATTTAAATTTTATAACATGTACCAAATTATCTATGTGAAAGGAATTGAATTTTTTAGTACATTAAAATAAAAATGTCAAATATTATATATTATTAACTTTAATATTGTTTATTATGAATAAGAAAAATTCAAATAATTTCTATGATATTTGGATTCATAGATCCTTAAATATACAATGTTAATTAAAACCAACTTTAGTAATAGATATAAATTATATGTAATTAAAAGTATAGATTTTAAAATACCAAAAAAGTTGTATTGAATAGGGATTGATCTACATCCATCCAATGGATCAAATATAGGTCAACCTTGACCAAAAACGAATTTGAACTAAAATATGGGCAAATAGATATTCATGAGGGGTAATTTAGCCCTCTAGTGATGTTGCGCCATGTGGCACTTCCGAACTGTTACATAACACCTTGGTGCCATGTCAGCAGTGATGTGTCTTTATTAAGTTAATTGGAACCACCTTAGATCCATCTCGCATGCACCTTGCATGCTTTGAGAGAGTGAGCGCCCAACATCACCTCAGCTAGGGCTGAGGAAAAATAGCCTCATGCAACGTATGCACCTCAATGGAGTAGACTAGAGACTTTGACAGGAGTAGACCGGAGACCTCGGTAAGAGTAGACTGGAGACCTCGACAGGAGCAAACCAAGGACCTCAGCAGGAGTTCCGACCTCCCACCGAGCACTCATCGATTTGATCGAAGTCTGAGGTGGCGATCGATTTCCGCTACGTGCAACTTAGCATCTCTAATTCCTCTGGGATCACGTTGCCTAATCGATAGAACTGACTTCTATCCCACCTTCTTCAAAGATAATTAGATAAGCCTTATCACTATCCGCTAAAACCACCTTCGAGGGTGGTAGGCTGATAAACCACGTTCCCCCGAAGATCTCGGTAGTGCTACATGAGACCCACAACTATCCATGCCTGTATAAAGGCACCTCCTTCAACCATAGAAGGTATGCATGATTGTGCACTCAATATTCTTTTGCTTTCTTTTAGTCATCGTTGACTTAAGCATAGGAGTGCCCACCTTGGCTAAAGCACCCCGGGTACCCTAGCATTGTTCTCTTATAGCTCGGCCTGTCAATCTCATTAGCTTGATGCCCAAGCTTTCCTCCAATAGGAAGATACCAAATCACACAGCATCAAATATCATTTGCAGCCCTAAAATGGTAGTCTCTACTTCTATGAAAAATTTAAGGTCTATTTAGTTTATAGGAATAGGGGTTTGGAATCAGAGGGTGGGTGAGATTCCAATTCTCATTATTTGGGGGAATGACATTCTCTTATTTGAGGGAATGCCCATTTCCATCCATCCCCTTGGGAATGAAAATCTCATCCAACTAACCCTCCCCTAAAAAAAGGGATAATTACTTAAACCACCTCTGAACTATCTTACAATTACTTAAGTGTCCCTTAACCTTAAAACCCTAATTAAAGTACCCCTAAACTTTCAGAAATATGACTTAAAAAGGACCCTTTGATTAATTGACCATCATAAACTACACGCATGTGACATCACAAGGACACATTTTCAAACTTTTAAAACCCAAATTTGCCTTTTATTGTCAGAACTTCGGTCTCTTAATATAACGTGGGGAACTGGGCTAACTTAACACTGTGTTTGGTTTGAAGGAAAAATCAAGGAAAGGAAGGAAAATATATTTGTAAAGGTTTCTTATCTTTCTCTTCCTTTCCCTACCTTTTCCTTCAAACCAAACATAGCCTAAGTGTCTACGTCCCCAAGACTCTTCCACCCTCAATCATTTCTTTAAACTCTCAAAATATACCATGACATAGTGAAACACGTCATCGGTTTCCTCTTCTCTAAAAAATAGAACCTATTAAGGTGGCGTTTGATAAATCTAAAATCTAAAGTCTGAAAAGTTAAAAAGATATTAAAACTGTCTAAAATCTGAAAAGAGGCATTGATGCTTTTCTACTTTTCAAAGGCTCTGAATACTTTGGCTTGTTTGTGTTGGGCCAAATTTTTAACATCTGAAATACCTTGTTTTTACTATTTTCAACTACAAAAGACTATTTGGTAAATTTGAACTCAATTTGTATTATTTCATATAAAAAGATTTATCAAATTTAAAATAATATTAAAATCATACAATAAAATATATAATAATTACGAAAAATAATTAATAATTAATAAATAACGTAATTAAATTAATAAAAAATAATTACTCACTATTAAAAAATGATTAAAATTTAATAAAAATTAATAGTTATACTAATATTGAACCAACATGAATAAATAATAATTAAATATATAATAACTACGAAAAATAATTAATAATTAATAAATAACATAATGAAAATAATAAAAAATAATTAATCACTACTAAAAAATAATAAAAATGATTAAATACATAATAACTACGAAAAATAATTAATAAATGATAAATAACGTAACTAAATTAATAAAAAATAATAAAAATAATTAAATACATAATAATTACGAAAAATAATTAATAATTAATAAATAACATGTTTAAATAACAAAAAATAATTACTCACTATTAAAAAATAATAAAAAAATGATTAAAATTTAATAAAAATTAATAGTTATAATAATATTGAAACACGAATAAAAAATAATTAAATACATAATAATTACAAAAAATAATTAATAAATAACGTGTTTAAATAATAAAAAATAATTAATCACTATTAAAAAATAATAAAAAATGATTAAAATTTAATAAAAAATAAGTTATAATAATATTGAAACACAAATATAAAATAATCAAATACATAATAATTGTGAAAATAATTAATAATTAATAAATAACGTGTTTAAAATAATAAAAAATAATTACTCACACATTATTAGATTTTCATTTATGTGTGCATTCACATATTAGATTTTCATTTGTTCAGCCCCGCATGCACACATTATTGGAAAATGCCTAACAACCATTTTCCCTACATAAAAAAAAGTTTGTTCACCTACATAACCATAATAGTAAACTACAAACAAACAAGCATTTCTACATAGTTCAAGTACATCAACCTGGCCATAAGATGTCTCTCCATCATCATGCTCTTCTGTCTCTACTTCTACATTTCCATTAAGCACTTGCATATTAGATTCATCGTATTCATTGAAAAGAGTATCAACTATTGATTCCCTTCTCAAATAGTTGTGGATAGCGACACATACAATGACTATGTCCCGTTGGACATGGAGATTGAAAGGCGCCATCCGTTTAAGAGCTGGAAACTGAGCTTTCAAAACACCCTATCGCACATTTCGATAGGGTGCCATAAAGTGTCTTGTATTTGCATATGCAACATCGCAAACATAGTACTTGTCTATGTCAATCAAATATATCTATCAAACAAATGAATTTATTAAGAAAACAAACAAACACCCATACAACACCATTCTTACCAGTAGGTGGAAATGGAAAATTGTTGATAGGGTTGTACGCAACCTCATGTAAAACCCTAGCATCATGTGTTGTTCCTTCCCAGCCAGCATAAACATATATAAACACCATATTAAAATCACAAACAACCAACACATTTTGGAAACATTCTTTCCCTCCTCTTCCTCAGTATGCTAGTTGTTTTTCTGGTGGTACCACAACGTGAACAAGTGTCCCATATAAAGCACCAACAACACCTTTCGACAACAAAAGAAAATAACTAGTTTTGATCTCAACCCCTACACCAATCAAAATTATGAAACTTATGTGATATTATCAATTATTTACCTTGAAGTCGGAGTCGTTTATGGTGCCCTGGGATGTTTGGATTTGGATCATATGTAGTTGGGCGGATCATTTCTCGTGCAAATTCCATCATAGCAGATAACACTTGATGAAAGTATGTATGCACTGTTTGGGTGGAGTGCTGGAATCTTCTATTTAGAATAGAGAACCTTTCATTATGGCTTAAACACAACAGAAACATAGCCATCTTCTCCTCCACTGATATGTATCGGTTATCATGCAACCATCCACGATTACAAAAATGGCCACAGATTCGTACATATGCTTCAACTGGCATCCTCATCACCTTGATGGTTTGCTGGTCGTTTCCATTTAATAGCTCACGTGTATAAAGACAACCGGGTAGTGCAGATTCACAATCTGACACCCTTGGAATACACATTCGTAAAGTTTTTTTCATATACCAATATAAGAGGATAATCCTACCCAACCTCTTCATCCTAGGTGTCAACATGTTTTTTTGGGTACCTGATGGTTACATTCCACATTGAGATTAATCTAAAAGTAAATCTATAAGCATGTTGAAGAGAAATATCAAAATATCATTTTCATCCAATAAACTCATCAAATTTGTGTAAACATACTCAAAATATCAAAAAAACAAAACCCAACAAGTATAATGCAAGTATATCATCCCAAACTGTTTAACAAAAAAAAAGGAGTTCCATCTAATCAGCCAAAACAACAAGTCCAAGTACAATTAAAATGACGAACAAGTCCTACTTATGCTGATATCCACCATTTAATCGCCTCATTATTGGGTGTGCCATAAGAACCACACCAACAGATCCATTCCTTTCTTGCTTCCAGGCTTTCCGCAAAGATGACCGAAGCCTCTATATATAAAGGAGTACTAGGTGTCCAGCCAAAATCATCAAGCTTCTGAACACATTCTTCTACAGTTGGTCCTCCGTCCTCATCAATCATAATATCAAGAAGCTTCTCCATTTTAGCATCAAGCTCACTAGTGAACTTTTTTTGCCTCTTGGATGGGCGTTCACTTGGACCTATAGACTCCTGAAAAGTCTGTTGTTTTTGAGTTTGGAACCTTGTGGGAGGTGCGATAGGCATATCATCAATGTCAATAGGATCACTATCTATGGTCTCACCATCAAAACCAGTACCTAGGGAAGCATTTGATAGACCCGTAGATGCCATTGGTCTCGGCCTATTTGACAATGGAGTCCAACCAACTTCTCCAATTGAATAGACCCCACCAAACAATGCTCTGCACTCATCGGCAAATTGGAGTCTTGCATACATAAAAACTTTTGCATTTGGATAGGCCTGTTATCATACAAACAAACAACCCATCCTATTAGATCCTACACACATATACATTACCTAACAACAACAAAAATTCAAGGTGGTTACCGTCAAGAACTCTTCCCACTGGTCATTTGACCAGTCCATTGTACCAGTAGACGGGTTGTATCCATTTCCAGTCCTATTGATGAGGGTCACCCATAATTGATATTTTCTCTTTAAATAATCGAATCCATTTTTAAGTTGCTTCTGTGAAAAATTCTTATGGAGCTTTTCCACGATCTTTTTCTGAATTTGTGCCCATGATTCTTTCTTAAGTGACCCACCTTGTCTCCCATGTGTGGACATCTCATCAATGCAGAAGTCCAACAATAGTTTTTGTAGGGTCGAGTCCTTCCAAGTGGCTCTATCAAAGTTATCTCCAGAGGCCATTCCTAACCCCTATAAATTATAATGTAAGACCTATGCCAAAAAATAGAAAACCCAATCTCAAAGCATAAAGAGTTATAACAAAAAGATGCTTCTCAAAGCTAAAGAAGAGAAATAATTGAATACACTCATATTTATATCAGCAAAATAAGCATACTCATATTTATAAACATAATCGTATTTATAAACATACAAATAAACATACCTTTGGGGGTGTAAATTCAATATAATGTAAGACCTATGGGGGTGTAAATGTTTTGGATTGATTAATATAAATTTGTGAGAGAGATGCCAAATGAACAATGAGAACCTTGACTTCATAGTCATTAGCTATCAGAATCTAATTTTTCTATGGAAGCCTGCTGGTTATAACTAGAGCCAAAAGCAAAGTACGGCTCAAGAAACATGGGGTGGGAGCCAGGTGAATCAAATCAGTCTTACGACTGCTTGGATTGTAATTATGTGGAGATTTAAGCTGCCTATGTACTTTGAAACATAGGTTTTTGAATATGTGTTGACTATGTACATGTTTCTAATGGGAATTGTGTATGGGACCCTGTTCTCAGAAGTCAAAAGTACTTTGAAACTGGGAAGTAGAGACTTTCTTAAAGCTGCCTTAGACACTCTACATGCAGTATGCAATTTGACCCTAACTGAGATGATAGAAGGCTGGTAGGGAGAGAAGTCTAAGGCATTTTACTATCAAAACTTTTCATAGCAAGTTGACTCGATAAGAAGTTTAGGAGCTTGGTACAGGCATACTTTGGTGCAAATACATACTCTCAGAGGTAGCTTTTTTGTTTGGTCTCCCTACTTAAATGAGATCCTTACTAGGGACAAACTCTTAAACAAAGGTATGGGGAGTGTTTCATTGTATTGTATTATATGAAACGGGGTGGAGGAATCTGTGAATCACCTGTTGTTACATTGTATTTTCACTCCATATGCTTGGAATAAAGCTTTGTTCACTTGAGCTCAGTTTAATGGTAAACCCACTAAATTTATTTTTTCCCTGTAGAATGACAAGGCCATAAATTTTCTCCTCCAAAGTTCAGTACCTATGTGGTTTCTCCGTGGAAGGGAGTTCTTCATTTCTGCCTATGAAGTTTCTTCTGTTATGTAAAGACACTAAAAATTGACATACCAACATAATATACTAGCATTGAGATGGTATCTAGGTTTCATACTTCTTATGGCAAAAACCAATTGTAATTTCTTGCTTGTTGAACTTGAACATCTTAAGGAGATTTACCTAATGTTCCATTTTTGTCTGTTTGCTTTTTGGATGATGCATGTAATTGCATTATTTTACTTATTTTCTAGGCTGGGCCTTTTTATGACATAAAACCTAAAGTTTGTTTGTGGGTTTGCTAAAATTTAGAAACATCTCCATTAAATTTCTGATTACATTTTATAAAGAAGCTAAGCTACATGAAAGTAGGCCTTTGTGTTAACAAGGAAAATGAACACTGTTGTTGATTCATATTTAAAAATTAACTTTGTGACCCATTTTATTGTTGTCCCTCTGATTATTTGTCGATCAAGCATTTCTTTGACTTTGTTTATGAATCAAGTCTTTACCCCCCTCCAAAAAAAAAATAAAATAAAATAAAACTCATAAACATCAATGGTCAGTTCCACTCATTTTTAAATATAAGGAAAAACTCATCTTACAGAGATGCATAAACCATTGAGAGGGAGGGCTTACTTTCAACTGATTTGGGTTATTCTAATCCAAGTTGAGTAGTAGTGTAAAAGAGAATGTAATAAAGACATATAGCTTCAGGTATGAAACATCAAACATCTCAATGAACCCTATAAATTAGAAACCCTGGTTTTGACACCAACAAATGAATTGGTTTAATTTAAGACTCTTAGAGCCTCCATGATGACATCATGGGGAATAGTCGTAAAAGGAAGTTCTTTGAAAAGCCCTATTCCCTCACTACGTGACCACAGAACAGGGAGTTCTATCCCTAAAAAAATTTGCCAACATACCTTGAGGTATGTTGGCATAAAACATTCATGTTTATCCATATACCACAAATCAAACGAAAATCCATAAATCTTACAGAGAATATGGGTAAAGCAAACCAAACGAAAATCTTTCATGTTTATCCATATACTTCAAAGAAAACGAATCTAAATGGAGTCATAGCATAAAACATTCCTGTTTATCAAGCATGACAATAAAAAAGAAAAAAAAACTGAAGATTGCAAGGGTTTTTGAGGAAGCTTCTTCAGATTTGGTTCGAAGAGAAGGTTCTTCATTTCGAAGCAAGAAACATACCTTTGAAAGAGCATATTCGGTTTGAAGTGAAGGTTCACAGAGAAATGGTGGTGGAGCTTGCTCGCAGAGAGGATGGCAGTGAGCTTCTTCTCAGTTCGAAAATGGGGTGAATGACCTATTTTTTTGGGTTTTATGTAAATGACAAATTATTTTCATTTTTAATTTTTCATGAGGATAATATCATCATTTACCAATGTCTGAATAGCCTCTGAGCGCATTAAGCACTCGCCCAACCAGTTTCGTTTTAAGATCTGAAAATGCAGTTCAGACCTAATATTAAGATGCACACCCAAACAAAGGTGGCGTCTGAAAAGTAAATATTTCAGAATTTAGAAGTCTGAAATAGGTTATCAAACGCCACCTAAGAGTAAATGAATTTGCCTTCTTTTCAGCTGCTTGAAATCTTGTTTTTTTTTTCATCCAAAACTCAAGTTCATTCATATTTGCGAAATTGCAGAAGATGTTGAATCTAGCAGGATGGCTAATAAGATGGTTGACCATTTATTTTGACAAATCAGATTAAGGTTAAGGCTAAGTTTGGGAGTACTTAAAAATAAGTGTTTATTCGAATAAGCACTTATTTTGGGTTGGGACCACATCAATAAGCACTTATTTGCATTTAGGAAATAAGCCCAAAAATAAGTATTTATTCTCAAAATAAATACTTATTTGAAAAGTTCAAATTTTTGGACTTATTTTTAAGTGCTTATTTCCTTTCTGGCTTATATTAACCTGCCACATCATTTCGAAAATACCTATACTACACATGTTTTAAAATAAGTGTTTTTTCATCAAATGCTCATAAGTGCTTATTTATTTTTCAAATAAACACTCTCAAATGAAAATTAAGTATTTGAATACTATGAAATTTGCCCCTTTTCCAAATCAAAGAGGCTTTAGATGGAATGGTTAAATTGCACTTAGCATGAAACTGAGCAGTGCTCTCTCTCCACATGCACATGATAGAAAAGTGAAAACGTCTCATGTAATTTCAAAGGAACACATGCAAAGGTCTGGGGTTAAAGATTCATTGACCTGAGAATACTGAAGAGCTAGCATTGGGTGCCCTTATTGTAGCTAAGAGTTGCATATGTTCTAAGGTGTCTTTATTCTTGAGATTGGCTTGAGTCAGTGCAAGCCCCGTTCGATTGGGAACATTTTCGTATTTCTGTACTTTATTTCATGAAAAATATTTACAATGCAAGGCTATAAAGACAGTTCGAATGGGCCTTGCATTGGCTGAATCTGGTTTCTTTACTCTTTACATCAGGTTTGGATATGGATAAACATGAACATGGACCGAGTTCAGATTTGTGCCCCAGCACAAGGAGGCACCCCAGAGCGTCCCACAGCACATTCCTGCCGTGTATTAAAAATATCTCTCGATGATAATACCAAAACCAATAATGTCATCATCGGGAGATGTTCCCAATATACGGCGGAGATGTATTGTGGGGCGCAGATGTGAACTCACATGAACCCGCCATTGAATGCATACATCCATATGCATCAATCAGTAACTTTTGGGCATCGTTTTCTTGACAACAAAGAACTTGCAAGTTGAAAGAGACTACATGTATCCTTGTCCGATTTATTATTCCCTTGTTTTTTCTTTGCATAATCTACAATATAACCAGTGTAGTAGTGTAAGCCATTTGCCATTCACCAAACTAGTGGCATTTGGTTTTGCAATGACAAGGTGAGGCACTGGATCATATAAATAACTTCTCTAAATCTACATCTAACCTAGTGAGTCGTTCATTGTTAGCCAGCCTAGGGATTTTTAATCAAACCGGTCCAACAAAAAATGGAACTTAAGTTTAGGGGTAAACTGGACTTTTTGTCCATTTCCATCCATCTCAACGGCACCTCCCTCGCTCTCAAATTTCTGAAAGCTTAGGGGTAATTTAAGTAGGATTTTAAACTTAAGACAACTTTAAGTAATTGCTAGTTCAGGGGCAGTTTAAGTAATTAACCTCCCAAAAAAGAAAAATACATGTGGCTTAGCAACGCCAAACCCTATTTCTCTTTTAAGGACGTCAACCCTTATTGGGAATCATGCATATCTTATGGAACTTTGATTCTAATCAAATAGGTGGGGAATAGGCAATTACAATTACCATTCTAGGGGATTTCAATTTCAATTCCGATTTTGATTCTGAGTTTTTGACCAATAACCAAATAGACTCTAATTTATCCCTTTTAACAAATTTCAATTGTTTCTTGGTAGTTTATACTTTACATAAATCATTAAAGTATGCTTCTTTTTGTATTTATATGTCTTATTTATAGTCACTGGTAAACATGTGCATGCATTTGCACGTGATAATATCTCTAAGACAAAACTATTTACAATTTATGGACAATTTTTGAACAGTTATAAGTGGGCAGTTTTTAGAGTGAGACTAAAGGGCATATATGCCCTCTTTATGCTGCTTAAATAGGGAGTAGAAAATGTCCAATAAAAATTCCAGAAAAAAGGGACATTCACTCTTTTATAGGTAGTATATATATAGATTTAAGACCTATATTTAGTGCCATTAATGCAACTTTTGGGATGTGATGTGGGGTTAAGACCTTTGATATATAAGCCTAGTTTGGGCCTATATAGCTTTGGGAATGGACTTATATTAATTCCAAGCTTGAGGGCTAGGCTTGTCCAAGCCTATCGTAGTTGCTAAGCCTGACTCAACCCATGATTACCCTTAAACTTTTCATAAACAAATAAGACAAGGTTAAATATGAAGAAAAAGTAAATTATAATTTACATCCAACTTATTTGCACTCCCATGCATTTATACCAAAATTTGCATTGCAAAACAAACTGAACTTTACGGTATCCATCTTAATTTTATTTAAAATAAGTTTGAAAGATAATCTGAAATCATTTATCAAAACTATTTTTTTACTCGTATAGTTTATTGCATTTAATCAAGCAAAGCAATCCACTAGATGGTTGATTGTTCAACCCATGTCGTAGGGACCGTTTGATAGCAACTGAAATGGTGGAATCAAATGGCTTTAAAGTACTCCAATTTTTGAATTTGGTTCTTCTCTAATTATAAGGATGGAAATGCAATTTGAACAACCAATTTTTTTCTCATTCAAATTTCTTTCATTAAGTTTTATATTTAATGTATTAACTCTTGTTAATATATATTGAATCCTATCATTAACTATATACCTGTACTTTCGAATTTGACTCATCTTTAATTGTGAGGGTATAAAGTATAATTTGAACTACTATATTAAGTCCTATTCTTTATTGAATCATTTATTAATTAACCATATTAAAACAATAATGTTTGTCGCAAAATAATTGTTTTTATTGGTAATAAAAATAAAATACAAATTTAGTTGGGTAGATGGGCAGGGAAGGCTTAGTTGGGTTGTGTTTCCCTTTTTGGGTCCAGGTCAATCCTTTGACCTCCCAAGGTTTAGTTCCCTTGAAATCTATCCGGCGGAGGTTCGAGAGTATCAAGAGTCCTCCGTGCGATGATGACGAGAATCGTTTCCAAGCACCACCAACCAACAGTGAATCCTACACTAATTTCAATCTTGATGACCTGATCGAAAGGCAATCAGTTTTGGCATCCTCTTTGGCCCATGGGGTGCCTGGTACGGAGGGAATCTGGTAAGTGAGCCCATGTCCGACCAACAAAAGGAGGAAGATCGCTGGAAAAAGTCCATTAGTGCTGATCAAGACTCAAGAGGATAAAGCGATCTGTATTGGGAAGTTCCTTAGAGTGTCTTACCCAGTAGAACAAGAATCTAGTATCTAACCCGTCCAATTACTTGGTGGGTTGTGTGATCAATCCATCACCCAATTCGTCCATTTAAATGGATTGGATTGGGTTGGGTTATGGATAACCATTACAGACATAAGTATTAATTCCTTAGCCTTTTTTTAATTTTTTTTATTTGAATTAAATAATTTAAAATTAATGCATTAATTTTCTATTAATTATTGACTAAATTTAGTTTTGTCTTGAATTAAAACATTTCACCCAATATAAATCCAAAACAATTTGACCTGAGTTCGGACCAGTTCAACTGGTCCTGTTTGACCGGACCGATCTAGATCTAAACGGTTCAGCCACCGTTGATGTGATTAGCTCAAAGATAATCCAATTAGATAATTCAAGTTGGGTTGACCGGTTTGAACCTAATTGGTTCGGTCAAACCCAAAATCCGGACATAGTCAAATGGCTTTGCCACTTGTGTAAAAATAACATGCATGTAATGTGATTTAAACCTTCACCACTTGTGTAAATAGTAACTATAATTACCACCAAGTTATGACCAACTTATTTGTTAAGAGAGAATTAGTTTATTTTTTAAGTCCATAAATATAAGATTAATAGGTTTGGACGGATTGGATTGCGTTAAAACAGGTTTGAATTTAACCCAACCCATTTAATTTTATACAATTGAGTCATTAATGGGTTGACGGATTAACTGAGTTGGGTTGAAGCTCAACCCAAACCAAACCCAACCTAACTCACCCAATTGTCACCGCAACTCTTATCTGGGACTGGTTTAAAGTTATGTTTTCTAACGAGGTGAAGGCCAGTGTGTTTCGGGAGTAGATTTTTCTTCCTCGTAGGGCATGCAACATCGTGGGGATGGGGTAGACGAGGTAGAGGCAGAAGCAACTCGGTTTGCTAGACTAGTTGTCTACCGACATCCTTGTGTTTTTTTGGTTGGTTGAGGTCTCGTACTTGGAGTTTTATTGTGATTTGTCTTGGTTCGTATTGTCTCTGGTCCTATTCGGTGGCGGATAGGTTGAGTTTTGGCATTGGCGGATAGGTTGAGTTTTGGCATTGGGGTATGCTTTTTCTTTATTGTGTACCTCTTGAATAGTGCCGTTTCTTATTTGAATAAAGGGGAAAATGTTTGATGCGGAAAAGATATATTATGAAAAGAGTTTTGATAAATCAAAACCCACCCATGAATTTCCATAAATAATATTTTATTTGTTATCATGTTTATGATTCCTGTTTATTGGTCAGTTATTTTTCATATATTATATTTTTTCATATCATATCTTCAATAAAGTTACTTTATATATTTTTTTTAAAAAATATAAATTTAAAATCAACCAAAAAATGATATTATTATTTTTATTTGGTGGTTAGTTAATAATTTAGCCTTTTGAGTTATATGTATTAATTCTTGATATTATAATTGAATAATAATAAAAATTAAAAATACATAAAAATATAAAAAATACAAAAAATATATATAATATTTAGACACATCTCTAATATTATATATTTATAACATATAAAAAATAATTTTTATAAAAATAAAATATAAAAATTTTTTAATATATAAAATTAAATTGGATATATCCGTACTTTTCCGAAAAATATATTATTATTATGATAGATGTTCATGCGGGCGGGTGGGGGAGAGGTGAACTCCAACTGAGAATATTTTCGTTGTTGGGAGATGTTCTCCATACACGGCGGTAGTGTCGAATTGATGTGAGAACAGTTTGTGGGGAGGAGATCCGGGATCCGAGCTCTTACCAAACGGCCTAAATATCAAATCGGTTTTACGTCCGGTCCGAGTCTGACAACACGGTACGTGGGCCACGTGGCTTCTGTTTGTATCGTATGATGGGGGTGGGGTCGAAGGTACGAAGGTCGACTGGTCGAGATTACAGTAGTAGCGATTAGCGAAGCGTAGGTACGACTCATTTTTTATTTGTTGTGGGTCGGGACTGGGAGGCTTGAGAGGGATATCTGGGCGGGGCGATAGAATGGCCGACGGTTGTTTGGGTCCCGCGGCATGTAAGGTGTTACAGTTTTCACTTCCCTTACGCTTCAACCCCACTGCTGCTTCTGCTGCTGCTGCTATTGCTATTGCTTCTTCCTCTTCTACTTGTTCTAGATCAATCTCGATGACATCGCCACGTTCCACCGCTCTCCATGCCTCTGTAAATCCCTCCCAGCCTTCCTTGCTTGTTTTCTCAGGTCTGACACTTCCAATCTTAAAATTCCATTTTACTTATTCTCTTCGAATTACATTTTTTAATGTTTTTCCTTTTCTATTAATGTTTTCTTTTGGTGTGTGAGCTGGATTGGTGGGGTCGAGCACCTGACCTCATGGTTGATGGTTACTCTGCACTTCGTCACCAAATCTTGTGAAAATATTTTATTTTATTATCCTATGATGATAACCCACTTTTGCCTCTCTCTCTCTCTCTTTCTACCTGTAATTCTCGTATATTTTCTGTTCAATTTGATCGAGAAATGATGTGGATTGACTTTGCTCGGATATGTACAGTTTGTGTTGCTATGAATTATTGGGTATCTTCATGTTCTTCTTTCTGTTTTAGTTGATTGATGATTAAATTAATGCTGGGAATGGCAATGTGGTTTCAATTATGAGCAGAAAGGTTGATGGACGATAGTAAATCTATAAATATGATACCAATTTTCTCCATTCGATGGAAAACGTCGTTTTATTGGGTTACATATTATTTGGCTTCAACGCTATTCTGTTGGCTGACTCATTTGACTTGAACAAATAGCGAAAATTCGTTTCTACTAAGTGAACTTCATCTGCTTCCTTTCTTTCTTGCTACTAAATATGAATCCCCAATTGTTAAAAATATCAACCTTAGATCATTACAATATTTAATGATGAAGTACCACTGTATGCATGTAACAACTGCACTCTCATTTTCGTATCTTGCCACGTGTTTGTATTCACTGTGTTGTGTTTATTTGGACCACCATCTCTCTCTCTCTACCACGATACTATATCCTGTCCTTATGGTTTGGATCATACTGCATCAGTATTCAAATACTTCTTCATTGTTTCAGCAATATCATTGCCTTTGAGAATAACCGCTGTTGGTGAAGATCAAAGATATTGATATTGCTTCCTGTTGCTGGCATGCTGAATCAATAATAATTGGGTAGAATAGGATGGATATGTGTGTTATATAGAATTGGGTTGATTTTTCTCTGACCTGAAAAGCATAATATTGCTGTTGTCGTTGACAGATTTATTGCTGAAAAGAAGTTCATTTTAGTAGAAAAAGATGTAATTATCTAGGAATGTGTAGTTCAGCTTTTAAGTCTATTAATTTTTTCAGTGAAGAGTGTCGCTTTTTTAACAATTTTTTGCCAAAATTTCAGAGCCAATTATATATCCCTTGCAGATAGGATGTTGTCTTAGAGACTCATTAGTTGACGAATGGTAAGCAAAACAGGATTGGGGAGTGCTTTTCTACACAATTTTGTTCACCAGGATCAGGAATTAAGACAACCAAACTGCATTATAATACACCATATGACAATGGTGTAATGAACTCACATATTTTGGTCATGGCTGCAGAGATGTAAAGGGAGACCATTTTAGTTAAAGAAAAATTAAGATCAGCTAACGAAATGATGTCTAGTCTTGGAGAGGAGAATGATAAGAATGTCAATGCTTATTTTCTTTGAAGGGGGGTAGAAGTTTTCCTTCTTGGAGAGGATGGTACAAAAAGTTACTATGCATCCTTAAAGAACATTTTTTCCTAGATTAGCTAGGACTTTGTTAGATGGAATGAAACAAGGGATCAACCATGCACAAAAGAATACAATGTTAGCTGGATCAATTTAAGCACATGATCAGCTATAAAAGGAAAAGAGAGTCATATGTATTAAGATAAGGATATAAAAACATATGTATTAGGATAAGGAAAAAGTATATATTAAGATAAGGATTAAAGTAATTCATTCTTGGTGGTCTCTGAAGCTTGCTTTATATAATCTAAATTCTTTTGCAGCAGAGTGCCAGTAAAAAAATAAAAGCCTCTTTTGCCACTTTTTTTCTAGAGGAACTTGTAGTGTCTTCAGAAAAAAACTTTGCTTCTAGTCCTTCCAAGGAGTCCAGCTTTGGGCAAAAATGTTTGAATATTTTAAAAGATAAAAATGAAGGACATTCAACCTGCTTTTGATTATTCTAATATTTTTATTTTTCCTCATCCTTATGATAGTAAAGAATGGGATTGTTAGTCTTCTCTTCATAACTTGACCAATTATTGAACTAAATTGAAATTGAGTATTATAAATAATTGATACATAAATTCTAACTCATGGCAACAGAACCTAATTGGTTCCTTGTAAATGATAAAAATGCACATTTCATATGCATTGATTCTGTACCAGTGTCTTCTAAACTTCACTTAAGGATGCAATATTGCTGTTCTGAATTTCTATATATATTTTTTTTGTGTACTACTATGTCTAAAGTAAAAGGTTATGAGTATCTTGATATTTCTTCAGGTGGAACTGCATTTAATGGTGTTGTGGAAGATCTCAAAAAGCTCACAACTCGAGTGGCACATGTACTTCCTGTTTCTGATGATGGAGGAAGTACAGCCGAAATTGTTCGTGTCCTTGGTATGTTAAGGCAATTACCTGGTTATATTGTTGTGTCTATGTTGGTGAAGTTTTATTGCTTAAAGAACATATTCTTTTTTCCCCACACGAGATAAGTAGAAGATAATTAGATAAGTATTGTGTAGGTGGTCCAGCTGTTGGAGACATAAGGTCAAGATGTCTGAGATTGTCTGATGAAAGTACTTCTGAAGCTTTAGCAGTGCGAACATTGCTTGGTCACCGCCTACCTCTTGATGCTCTACTAGCCAAATCAGAGTGGTATTATAATAGATCTTCTGTATAAGTGTTACTTAGTTATGAGTCTATACAATGTGATATACCATTATTCCCATTTAACATTATTTACCATTTTATTCATGGGCCATTGTTGGGTTAGTAACATATCATTGTCAAAGCCATCACCAGTGTTCAGTAGTATTCTTCTCATTGATGGTACCTTGATGCTGGAGATTCTTGGTTCTTTTAATGTGGTTAAATGTTTCATCAGCATATTTTACTGGGACAATGAAGACGACAAATAAGAATATTTGTCATGACCAGTGTCCAATATAATATTCTTCTCATTGATGGTATCCTGCTACTGGAAACTCTTGACTGTTTCGATGCAGTTAAATGTTTCATCAGAATATTACATTGGGAGAGTGAAGAATGAAGATGATCAATCCTTAATTAAGTCAATGTCTTACAATAAACTATCGTTATAATAATTATTTTTATTAGGGAAATTATTTTTTTGATCAATATATATTAGGGCAATTATCCAATAATGGTCTTGACCTTGTGTCTTCCCAAATTGGTGTTCCTTGTGTAAGGCCGAGAATGAGGACTGTTTCCATTTGCTGATCACCTGTTCCTTTGCTACAACTTTATGGAGTTGGAGCCTTGGTTTATTTGGAGGTAGGTGGTCTTTGCTTTCTGATTTAAGTTTGTTATTTAACCCATCTTTTTTTGTTTGGCACACTAGAAGAGGCAAGGTTATGTGGAAATGTGTCAGGGCAGCCACTTTATGGACTCTTTGGGAGGAAAGGAATGCAAGAATCTTCTTAGAGAAGGAAAGAAGATTAGATGAAGTGAAGGACTGCATCCTAACAAGAGCAATCCATTGGCTGAAAACTTTGGATATATTTGATGATTTCTCCTTTGATGACTTGTGGAGGAATTGGTTAGTAATAGCTAACACTTCAACAAAGAAGAATAAAATTTTGTCAGAATGGGTTCCACCTTTAGAAGGTGTCATCAAGTTGAATTTTGATGGAAGCAGCCAAGGTAACCCCGGGCCTTCAGGTATAGGGTGTCTCCTGAGGAGTAAGGACAGCAATATAATTTCCTTATTCTCAGGACCGGTGGGAGTGGGGGACTCCACAAGGGTAGAAATCCTTGCTGCAGTACAAGGAATTCAGATCGCTAACTAGCTTGGGGTGGAGCATCTCCTAGTTGAAGGGGACTCTTAGGTGGTAACAAGGTGGCTTCTAAACCCAGATACTACCACTTGGGGCTACAAAGATCTCATCAAAAAAGTAAAGTGGTTAACTAGCAATATGAGAGTTGAGGTAAAATGGGTTATCTGGTCTGCTAATTCTATGGCTGATTCTTTAGCCAAACAGGGGGTTTCCAGGGAAGATCTTTTTTGTGCTACTTTGTAAGTTATTATTAATCTAGAAATTTGTACTTAACTAGCCTGGAGAGGTTGCAACTCGTGCCTCTCCTCGGGGACTTTGTACTATTTTCTATTGCTGTTTAATATATTTATTTCAATTATCAAAAAAAAAAAAATAATGGTCTTGACCTTCTGGGTCTTGGGAAGGATAGACTGGATATCGACCTAACATTTGGCTTTTATTTTGCACGAAGTGTCTGCTTTCAGACTCAGACCCATATTCTCACACTTGCAAGCCTGAGATTTTACCATTATATCAAGCAATGGCCCCTTACAATAATTATTTTTATTGTATTTATCATTTCAATTCATTTGGTGGGACTGGAATAAGTACAACCGTTTACTTGCTTATTTCTTGACAAATTTAGGTCCTTATTTATTTGTCGCCCCTTATATCATAGTTTTCAAGGTGGGTGAGGGTAGGCGATGGGGGGGGGGGTGCCTTGTCTCCTAGGCATCGGCTTGGCAATGGGATTTTTTAATAAAAACCATGAATCATAGGGTAATTCCCTAGGTTCCATAGCAAGTAGCAACCACTTCCACTATTAATTGTCTATAATCTTCTTAAAAAAATGTATAAATTTCATTTAAAGCATAGAACATCAACATATTCATGAAAAAATGGAAGAAATAAAAGAAGTTTCAAAATAGAGGGGTTGAGCCTCTATTTTTTTCATAGGAAAAGAAAACAAAAAAAAAGGATGGAAGAAGAAGAATAATATGTACTGATTAGACAAAATTGAGTTTTTCCATGCTTATTAGTTGAGGTTTTGAAGTCTTTGAGGGTTCAAGATAGTATACATCTTTATTGAACCCTAACAAATAAGAAAAATAATAAACAGAAACTAGTATTTTAACTCAAACTGATTAATTTAGTTTAATAATGTCTGTTTAATTATTATAACCTCAGGAAGTTAAAACTGTAAAAGTATCCAAGAGCATTGTATAAAAAATATCTTGACGATCAAGTGAGGTTACCATCCATGAGTGCCTTGTTGCCTAGGAGTCACTCTAAATGTTAAGCTACCTTAGTATTACCTGATTGTCATAGTTAGGTAGTATATCCTAGAGGTAGTCTCTATTTTATATGATAGCGGGTTGTTCTTGTATCATTTGGTGTAGCAATAAAAGATATGTCTTTGATATTTTTGCTGGGTTTTTTGGTTTTCATTTGATTGATAACAGCATGTTTGTGTTTTATTGGATGGTTGCTCGCAAGAAAGTGTTGTGACTATGTGAGCTCAAGAAAACCAAATCGTTGACTAAGTGATTTGTTTATCCATTGACTTATATGCCCAATTATATAATATGAAAATAATAATATTAATTATATACATATATTCAAAATATATAATTATATTCTACTATAACATATATTTTTTATTCCAGCTTCAATTTTTTATATCAAAAATTAAGGTTTGAGGCCAAAATGGCGTTTTTTTTTGGAAAAAATAGTGCCTTATCACCTAGGCATTGCTTTGCTAACTATGACTAAAGGTAGTCTCTTCTTTCATATGATAGTAGGTTTTTCTTGTATCATTTGGGGTAACGATAGCAGACATGCACCTAGTTGTGATGATGTGAAATCATCATTCTACATGTTAAGGTACCTTGGTATTACCTTGTTGTTATAGTTAGGTAGTATATCCCTGGGGTAGTCTTTATTTTTTCATACGACAATGGGTTGTTCTTATATCGTTTGGTGTAACAATAGTAGACATGCCTTCACTAGGTTGTTTGGTTTTTCATTTGATTAATAGCAGCATGTCTATGTTTTATTGGATGGTTGCAAGAAATTGTTGTGACTATAACTCATGAAAACAAAACAAAGTGTTATGATTATGTGAACTCATTGCTCCACATATTAGGCTACCTTCGTATTTTTTGATGTTCCTAGTAAGGTAGTGGATCCTAGAGGAAGTCTTCATTTTATCATATGATAGCGGTAGTTCACATATTACTTGAGGTAGCAACAACAAGCATGCACTCATTGGGTAATTTCATCTTTCGTTTGATTGATATAATGTCTATGTTTTATTGGAGGGTGAAAAAAAATGTTGTGACCATGTGGGCTAATTGAAATCAAATCACTTATGCATGCATTCACAAGGTGATTTGGTTTTAAATTTGATTATCATCATCTTCATGACTTATTGGAGGGTTACAAGAAAGTGTTGCAATTGTGTGAGCTCATTGAAATCAAATCACCCAAGCATGCGTTCACTAGGTGATTTAGTTTTTATTTTGATTGATAGCGTGTTAGTGTTTTATCGAAAGGTCACAAGAAAGTATTGTGACCATGTGGACACATCACAACACATTGTTAGGTTACCTTGGCATTTCTTGCTTGTCATAGTAAGGTAGTGGAGCATAGAAGTGATTTCTATTTTTTCATATATTATTGGGTTGTTTTTGTATCATTCGAGGAAAAAGGCATGCATTCACTGGGTGATTTGATTATCATCATGTTTGTGACTTATTGGAGGGTTACAAGAGTGTTGTGACTGTGTGAGTTCATTGAAATCAAATCACCCAAGCATGCATTCATTGGGTGATTTGGTTTTTCTTTTGATTGATAGCATGTTAGTGTTGTATCGGAAGGTCACAAGAAAGTATTGTGACCATGTGGACACATCACAACACATTGTTAGGCTACCTTGGCATTTTGTGCTTGTCATAGTAAGGTAGTGGAGTGTAGAGGTAGTCTCTATTTTTTCATATATTATTGGGTTGTTTGTATCATTTGAGGAAAAAGGCATGCACTCACTAGGTGATTTGATTTATCATTTAATTGTCATCATTTCTATGTTTTATTGTAGGGCTGCAAGAAAGTGTTGTGACCATGTGAACTCATCGAAACCAAGTTACCTAGGCATGTATTCATTGGGTGATTTGGTTTTTCATTTGATTGATAGCATGTTTGTGTTTTATTGAAGGGTTGCATGAAAGTGTTATGGTTATTTGAACTAATTTTTCAACATGTTAGACTACCTTGATATTTCTAAATTATCATAGTAAGGTAGACCGTAGAGGCAATCTCTATTTTTTCATATGTTAGTTGTTAGTGTGTCATTTAGGGTAGCAATTGCAGGATGCACTAATTGGATAATTTGGGTTTTGTTTGATTAATAGTTTGTTTGTGCTTTATTAGAGGATACAAGTAAGTTTTGTGACCATGTGAACACATTGAACCAAACCACCTAAGCAAGCGCTCATTGGTACTATTTGGTTGATAGCATGTCATGTTTTATTGGAGGGTTAAAACACATAGAAAGTATTGTGACTATGTGAACTCATTGCTCCACATGCTAAACTATCTATATATTTTTTGATTGTTAAAGTAAGGCGGTGGATCCTAGAGGCATAGTTTTCAAGGCGTCGAGGCGAGGCTAGGTGATGTTTTTTTTTTCACTATTAATTGTTGACTAGTTGCCTAGGTGATTTTTTTTTTTTTTTGAATAAAACCATGAAACTTAGGGTAATTCCTTAGGATCCATAGCAATTCTATAAATGGAAGAAAGAAAAGAAATTTCAGAAAATAGAGGGGCTGAGCCTCTATTTTTGTCCTAGGAAAAGAAGGAATGAAAAGAAGGGGTGAAAGAAGTCTTCAAGGGTTCTTCCATGCTAATCAGTTAAAGTATAGTCTTCAAGGGTTCAAGGAAGTATACATGCTGATTGAACCCTAACAAATGAGAAAAACAATAAAAAGAAACTAGTATTTTTAACTTAAACTGAATATTTATTTTAATAATGCCTATTTTATTAGTATAATCTCAAAAAGTTGTAAATATAAAAGTCTCCTAGAGCACCATGTAAAAAAATGTCTGGGCACATTGAGGAAATCCTCCATGAGCGCCTTATCGCCTAGGCGTTGCCTTGATAACTATGATAATTATTTCAATTCATTTGGAGCTACTTTGTCCTTGTTTTTACTTAGTTGATATCAGTTTACATATTAATTTTTTTTTCATCATTTTCTTTTTGTAACTGGGACAAAAGTAATTTAAATATGTTTATTCCTACCTGCAGTGGTTTCATATTGGATGGTAGGTCTTAGGAAATTTGACTCTGTGCATGATGAACCTTATAGTTTACTATTTTCTGAATTTCGCTTATTGATTTTCTAGGTATTACAATGCTGGGGATATTGAGTGTTAGTGTGTTGAGTTGAGAATTTGACAGGTACCGTATTGTAGAAGGGGAGCACCCTCTATGGAAAGGCGTATCAAGACCGTATAGGGAAACAATTCGAGCTTTCCTGGCTTACTTTCAAAATCAGGTATTCCCTGATCCCTGTTGCTTCAGTATAAATACCCTCTTAAATATTCTCCTTTCTTTTTTTCTTATGAATGAAAAAAAAACTTGCATACATCATCATTCTAACATTTCCTATTCCTAACTTTGCCATGTTTCTAGTCATCTTTTCTGGTTATTCAAATACAAAGCAAAGATATGCTAATTATCTACATTGGAGGCACCACATTATTTGAACTACCCAGATTTTTTCGATCATTAACAACAGTCATTATTTCATTAATGTATGGAGAACCTGCACTTCATAAAAATTGAAAGAATTAACACCACAGCAAAAGCTGGCATATCACAAAAGGATAGAAAACTACCACCTTATTACAAGTTTAACCCTGGGTCAGGTACCCACTGTAACAAATTTTCAGTTGTTATAATAGCTCTATCTTCACATTCCAGAGCAAATGAGTTTTCACTTTATTCCAATGGTTACTGGTTGATAATTATAGAACAAGCAAGCTGTCATTTAAGGGAGTTTCCAAAACTTAGGGAAGTCAAATGCTAGACTTGAGGTCGAATACCGCCTCCATGATTCTAACTACTGACCATTAACAGCTAAACAATTGCCTGACAAAAAGATAAAAATGGATTTCCCTCATATTTGTGGATTACTGGAAATATTTTCCTTTTGATGTGTCAATTGCCATAGAGACCTGGTTTCTGTTTTCAAATTATTGTTTCTTAATCAATTCAATCTATTGACAATGTTCACTTGTATCTGTGATGCATTTCTTTTTCAAACTTACATTACATCTTTTTGCATGTACATGCATACATACACACATAAGTGCATGCATGCATGTTTTTACTCAGTTTTTGTTAGATTTTTCTGTCAATAGTTAAACTGTCTTCCCAAATCCCAAGGTATTCTCTTTTGGACCTTTTGCATACATATATATTTTTTCTCAAGATTTTGTCTGTTATGCACTGTTGGACCTTTTGCACATAAGTGCTTACTACAAAAATATTAATGGTAGACTTATCAAAAAAAAAAAAATAATGGCAGTTTTTTTTTGTCATGAAGATCCTTCGGAGGTCAAGCGAATCTTTTTGTTTCAGCAATGGGAGGTACTTTTTCTGTTCCCTTTGTAGTCCTGTATTAGATCAATCTCATATTATTATCTATTTATCATTTTTTTCTTGTAATGTTTTTATATGATTTTTTGTTGGGATAAGGCATGGATGATGATGAATGTGTTTATATGACTTTTGAGTTTAAGCTGATCAAGTTTGCAATAGAAGTTGATATAGTTTATGCAGGATGAAGAGAATGATCTAACACAGGACCACAAAGAAGTTGAAGTTCACCATAGAAGCGAATCTTTATATGATTTTTGAGTTTAATAGTTGATATAGTGTTCCAACATCATAAGGATGCAAACTAATGGAAGAAAGGGTGGAGACAGGATATGAACAGAAGCCAATGAAAAAAAAGGAAAACTCTATAAAATAAAAAAAGCTTTATCACCTACATCTATTGATTCTAGAATATTCTTGAGGAGTTCCTTGAGGGCTGAGATACTAGCAGCTCTTGAAGGTGTACAAAGGGTCAAGGACATGCATATTAATAAGTTGATCATAGAAGGAGATTCTGAAGTTCTGGTGAATTGGCTAAAAGAGGATAACTCTAGGCTTTGGAATTACAACAATGAAAAGAGGAAATTTAAGTGGCTGACTAAGGACATTGAAATTCAATGCACATGGGTAAAGAGAAGTGCAAACTCATTGGCAGATGGTCTAGCTAGGCAAGGGGTGAACAGAAACTCTATTTTTTGGGCTGTGTTGTAATTGCTTTACTTTTGGTGTTCACTGGCTGTATTCGGATGTTAAGATTGTTTAGCTCCCTTGCTTTGTAATTTTCATAATCTTAATACAATTCACTGTTATTGATCGAAAGAAAAAAAAATTCTTGAGGAGTTGTACGTGTAAACAACAAATCTTTGAACAAGTTCTAAACAAGGTTCCTTTAATGGTTTGAATGGTTCAGCTCTCTGGACAAGGGTCATAAAGTGTTGCTTTGAAGACAAAAAGGACCCTTAGATATTTAAAATATTTCTCTTATTTCTCATTTTATGTTTTTTAAGTTAAATTCATTTTCTTCATCACCCACTCTGTAGTAAATCTGGTATTTCCATTCCTAAGGATAAGGGTTGCAGTTAAGTTTAACTATTTTAGATGGTTTTAGTAAGAGGTATGAAGTATTAAGGTTGCAAGCTTTCGGAAGAGTTTATGCCATTTAAGTTTCAAACATAAGAAATTTCTTATCAAGCTTGTTGTGTCTGGTAAGCAGGTTATAATGAAGGCTTGTTATGAAATGTAACCATACCCAATAAAAATTAAGCAGTGTAAGCTACAAATAAAATTAGTTGATTTACTATCTTTATTTTTGATAGGCATTTCCATCTCTGAATTTCTGGACTACCTATATGTTAGTGTTCGGTCTACCTGTTAGACTAATAACAGTCAAGGAAGAGAGAGCGAAGAGAGAAGGAGAGAAAGAGAGAAAGGAGAAGAGCAGAAGAGAAACAAGGAGAAAAGATTCTAGTTCGAATGAGAGAAAAAGCACCCTCTGCCATTTGGCCAGATTTATTTTATATTACTAAAATAATGTGAAAAAGTCACATATGCCCCTACTTAAGTTAGGGACATTAAGTCTAACATAAACTTACACATCATCATCTAAACACAAGCACAAAGACAGAAATACCCCTGCATACTCGACACTAACACTCCCCCTCAAGCTGGAGAGTATATCATATAATCCCAGCTTGTTACATATGTAGTCCACTCTCCCTCGACTCAACCCTTTAGTAAACAAATCTGCCCACTGGTTCCCTGTGTTGACATATGCAGTGTCTATTACTCCACTCAACACCTTCTCTCTAACAAAGTGACAGTCAACCTCTATGTGTTTGGTTCTCTCATGAAACACCGGATTAGAGGAAATGTGAACTGCAGCCTGATTGTCACAGTAGAGCTTCATTGGAGTATCAACAGTGTATCCCATCTCTTGTAGAAGGTTCCTTTGCCACACTAATTCACAAGTAGTATGTGCCATAGCTCTATATTCTGCCTCTGCATTGCTTCTTGCCACAACTGTTTGCTTTTTGCTTTTCCATGTCACCAGATTACCCCCATGAAAAGTACAATAGCCTGTGGTAGATCTCCTATCAGATACAGAACTGGCCCAATCAGCATCAACATATCCTTCTATTTCAAGTTTTCCACCACTTCTGTATATCAAACCGCGACTAGGAGCCCCTTTTAAATACCTCACAATCCTTATAACCGCATCCCAATGTGGAACCAGGGGTTTATGCATGAACTGAATTACCATACTACGAATGAAACGCCTGGCCGAGTGATGGTTAAGTAGTTCAGTTTACCTACCAGCCGCCGGTATCTGTCAGGGTCTTCAAACACTTCATCCATATCACTGCTCAGCTTAGTGTTTGTTTCCATAGGAGTTTCAGCTGGTTTAGCACCTAACAAACCTGTTTCTTCAAGCAAATCAAGAACATATTTCCTCTGACACAAGTTAATACCATGCTTGGACCTTGCTACTTCTATCCCCAAGAAATACTTCAATTTACCAAGGTCCTTTGTCTGAAAATGTTCTTGTAGAAAGATCTTCAACCTATCAATGCCCATTTTATCATTCCCGGTAATGACAATATCATCTACATACACCACTAAGTAGGATCTTCCCTGCCTGAGAGTCATGACTGAAGACAGAATGATCAACTTGGCACTGTTTCATACCAAACTTCTTTACTACCTCACTAAATCTGCCAAACCATGCTCGAGGAGACTGTTTAAGCCCATAAATGGCCTTTAGTAGTCGGCACACCTTACCATCCTCCCCCTGAGCAACAAACCCCGGTGGTTGCTCCATATAGAACTCCTCGAGTAGATCACCATGCAAGAAGGCATTTTTGATATGAAGCTGATAGAGGGGCCAATCATACATCGCAACAAGAGAAATCACAACACGGACTGAACCAATCTTAGCAACTGGGGAGAAAGTCTCTGTGTAATCAATACCATTAGGTTTGGGAATACACTTTGGCAACCAATCGAGCTTTCAGCCGCTCTACACTACCATCAGGTAAGTACTTAACCATATAAACCCACTTACAGCCAACAACTTGCTTACTAGGAGGAAGAGTGGTGAGTTCCATGTATGATTATGAGCCAGAGCTGAGAGTTCTTCCATCGCACGACATCATCTTGGAGAGGCAAGGGCTTCCTGGACATCCTTAGGTATAACAACAAAGGATAACAAAGAGATAAATTGGTGATGGGAAGTGGAAAGGTGAGTCAGTGAAACATAATTAGAAATAGGATGAAGGGTACAACTGCACTTACCTTTCCGCAAGGCAATGGGAAGATCAAGATCAGATATTCAGGTCGGGGCTAGTGTGGTAACAACTGTCAGATTTGTCGACGATGATGAAGCTGGAGGAGGTGCCGGTACACGTGGGCGATGTGTATACACGTGATGGATCAGTGGTCATTCAATAGGTGGTGGCACCGGAGGCAAAGACTGAAAGAATGGTAGGATCCATCTAATGGACGCCATRAAGGTTRMDGARTGGGTGGGGCGAATTTCAAAAATTTCCTACCTTCTCCCAACTGGGAATCATATTCCCTGAATTTAGAATACAATATTCAAGGATCTACTTGAACCCTAAT